TATCTATCTATCTATCTATCTATCTATCTATCTATCTCTCTCTCTATCTATTTATCTATCTATCTATCTCCTTCTCCATCCCAGAGGACTCCGTGGACGTGGGCGGAGAAGGACGCCAAGGTACGCGAGACTCAACGACATTTTGCATTTATAATCACGATGACGAGCAAGGTCGCTCTCGCTCTCTCTCTCTCTCTCTCTCTCTCTCTCTCTCTCTCTCTCTCTCTCTCTCTCTCTCTCTCTCTCTCTCTCTCTCCTCTCTCTCTCTCTCTCTCTCTCTCTCTCTCTCTCTCTCTCTCTCTCTCTCTCTCTCTCTCTCTCTCTCGCTCTCGCTCTCGCTCTCGCTCTCGCTCTCTCTCGCTCTCGCTCTCGCTCTCGCTCTCGCTCTCTCTCGCTCTCGCTCTCGCTCTCGCTCTCTCTCGCTTTCTCTGTGTCTGTCTGTCTCTCTCTCTCTCTCTTTCTCTGTGTCTGTCTGTCTCTCTCTATATATATCTAATTCTGTCTCTGTCTCTCTATCTATGTCTGTCTGTCTGTCTCTCTCTCTATATATATAATTCTGTCTCTCTGTCTCTGTCTGTCAGTCAGTCAAGATCTCTTTCTCTGTCTCTGCCTGCCTGTCTGTCTGCCTGTCTGTCTGCCTGTCTCTCTCTGTCAAACTATTAATATGTTTGTCTTATCTGTCTATTCATAAATCTCCCAATGGAAAAGGGAATGGGACAGAAGAGGAAGGAGGGGAAACATGGATAACGGGAAAGGGAAACGGAAGAGGGAAGGCAGAAGGAAGACAAAGGGGGGAAAGGAGAATACGGAACGGAAGAAGAAAAAGAAGAAAGAAAAAGACGAAAAAAGAAGAAAAAAATGAAAAAAACGATAAAAGAAAAAAACGAGAAAGAAGAAAAAAAAAACGAGAATAAAAGAAAAGACGATAAAAGAAAAAGAAAAAAACGAGAAAATAAAAACTAAAATAAAATAATAAACAAACACATAAACAACAACAGCAGCAATCTCAACAACACAAAACGGGAAACGAAATGATGGAGACGCTCCAACCGAACTCCCGAGCTGCCGTTGCCGTTGTTTCCGCTCCCGTAAAAGCGGAGGGCGGGCTTTCAGCGTTTCAGCGCCTAATGCGAACAGACGCCCACATTCCACGGGCGTTCTGAAGCTGAAATCCAGTCGAGCGTTTGATTGTGTGAGTGTTGGAGGCTGTCACGACTCGCGCGGGGGGGGGGTGGACGGAGGGAGGGAGAGAGGGGGGAGGGAGGAAGGAGGGGTGGAAGGAAGGAATGGGAGAGCAGGGGGAGGGAAGGAGGGAGGGAGAGGGAAGGAAGGAGAGAATGAGAGGGAGAGGGAGAGAAGAGGGTGGGGGAGGTGGAAGGAGGAAGGGAGAGCGAAAGGGAGGAAGAGGGAAGAGGGGCTGGAGGGGAAGGAGGGGGTGGAGGGAGGGAGGGAGGGAAGAAGGAAAAAGAGGAGGGAAGGAGGAAGAAGGAAAAAGGGAGGGAGGGAGGGAGGAAGGTAAAAAGGAGGGACGAGAGGAGGGATGGAGACGGAAGGAAGGAAGGAGGGGGTTAACAATATTAACAAAAACGATAACAGTAGCAACAATAATTTGAATATATATATAAAAAAACACTCAACCACATCAAATCTCAAAAATCAACAGAAATAATTAAATTTTGCGGTGTTCCCTAACCCCCCAAACTCCCCCCTAACCTTACACGATCTAACCTAAGCCACAACCTAACCTAACTCCGCCCTAAGACCCCCCCCCCCCAGACAAAGAAAAAGAAAAAAGACCCTCTAAAAGTAAAAAAAAAAAAATAATAATATGAACTTAGACATAAAAAAAACTCTGAAAAGAATAATATGTAAGATAAATAGGCAGAAATGGGCGTGATACCTCAAATCTCGCGCCCGCGTGGCAGAGAGTGTCGGATCGTGCTTATCACGCCCGTCTCTCCCTCTCTTCCCTTCCCTTATTCCTATATCCCTTCCTTCTCCCTGATACCTGAAAAAAAAACCCTCACACCTCATACCCCGTCTCCCTTAGCCCTTACCCCCTTTCTCCCTCCCCCACCTCATACCTCATCCCCCATCCACTCCTCCCCAACTTCATACCCCATCCCCCTCCCTCCCCAACCTCACATCCGTCCCCTCCCATCCTCAACCTCATGCCCCCATCCCCTCCCTCCCAACTTCATACCCCTCCCCCTCCTCCCCAACCTCATATCCGACCCCCTTCCTCCCTCAACCTCATATCCCTCCCCCTCCCTCCCCACTTCATACCCCATCCTCCCTACCTCCCTACCTCAAACCCGACTCCCCCTCCCTCCCCCCTCACAACTCCCCAACTTCCACGACCCGAATACTTCTAATAATGCATATTGAGGCTAAACGTTTTTCTCATATCGTAATGCGAAAATTGGGGGAGGGACGGGGGTGGGGTGGGGAGGGAGTGAGAGAGATAGGAAGGGAGGGAGAATTGGGGAGAAAGGGGGGGGGGAATCATGTAGGCTAATAGAGCGTTTTTTCTTTTTTCTTTCTCTGTCTCAGTCTCTTATTTCTTTATTTCTTATTCTCTCTCTCTCTCTCTCCTCTCTCTCTCCTCTCTCTCTCTCTCTCTCTCTCTCTCTCTCTCTCTCTCTCTCTCTCTCTCTCTCTCACTCCTTATGTGCTCAACAGGTTCTTGTCCAAAATCTATTGCGAAACAACTGTTGCTTCTGTTGACAACGATTATAATGATATCGAAAATGATATTGATATTCCACGCGCAGCTTTCACGCGGTCTAACCTTACGGAACAAACTGCCATTCGCTATAAACACTACGTTGCCTCTGACACTATTTATACGAGCCTATCTCCATTACTGACGATAATAAGATCATTTTCCTATCAAAACAACTGGCTTGTGCGCACATGCAAAATATACGTACATGCCCACGTACACACACTTTGATTATTATGCGGTCTCTATATACACAGACACGCCCAAATCTACACGTTACTTACACGAATCTGCATACGGCGATCCACGTGAACACGCACACGCCCACACTCACACACAAGCGCATTACTTACACTTATCTGTATGTGCGCACACGTGTCGGTTCCCACCCCTGTGTGTATGTAAGTTGCAACCTCGCTGCTGTTGCTCTGTTGCTTGCCCCCCCCCCTTCCAGCCTGCTTCTTGTGACTTCCACCCCTTCGCTATGACACACTGCTTGCTTGCTTGAAGGACACAGCCTGTCTGCTTGCCTGAATGCCTCTGCCCCGTGGCTCGCTTGCTTGGAAAATGGAGAGGTCTCGAGGTAAGGTTGTCAACTTTTTTTCCTAAACTATATTTATTTTATTCGTGTTTATATTCGTTCTAATTTCATTTCTATCGTCTTTACTCTTTATTCTAGTCTCATATTATTGATTTGAAGTTAGGGAGGTAGGTAGGTTAGGGCACTAGGTTTTGTCTCTTCCTAATCTTCCTTTTCAAGCTCAATTGTTGGTGTTATTATCGTTATTTCCTTCACATCTACTACGCATCTAACGAAGGCCAACACATATCCGCTTCCGAATAGGCTGAAGCTATTTTCGTAAAACCGCCGCCCTTATCTCTTAGTGCGAACCAAGGTTAAATTTCGCCAAATGTTAAGCTTTTTCGTTGTAAAACGGTTAGGCAATTGAACCAAATTGCCGAGAATAGGGAGAGGACAGAGGTGCGTATCGTGTTACTCAACGTAAACGGAACAACGCAAATTCTCAATTCACAAATGCATTATTGAAGGCGACATTTAACATCCATCTTATCTTGGGATTGTCAAGAAAATCTGTATCCAAACCACACACACACACACACACACACACACACACACGCACACACACACAACACCACACACACACACACACACACACACACACACACACCACACACAACACACACACACGCACACCACACACACACACACACACACACACACACACACACACACACACACACACACACACACACACACACACACACACACACACACACACACACACACACACACACACACGCACGCACACGCACGCACGCACACACACACATACACACAGTATATTAACCTAAACGGTCCACTTATTCAAATATCACCTAAATGCAAACACTAGTACCAGAACTGCGCCCAACGCGAATTATCTATAAAATATTATTATTATTCCTCATCATAAACCTTCAAACACTATCTTTCTCTTGATCTGTGACTCAAAGCGATGTTAAATTATGTTTATGAAACTATTAACGGTATGTCGTTCGTGTTAACTTTTCCTTGTCTTTGTTTATAACTCTGCTTTTGACTCAGATATGAATGTGATCGAGATAATGAATAGCATCTCTTTCTTTAATTGTTCTTCGTAAATGTGAGTTTATCCTGTTCATCGTCCCCTTTGTTCACTGTTCACAAATATATTAATCATTTGTTTTCGCTATTAGGAGAATACGAGAGTTTTCTTACACTGACACAGACACAGACACACACACATACACACACACACACACACACACACACACACACACACACACACACACACACACACACACACACACACAAACAATAATTGCGCGCGCGCGCAATTATTATCATCACAAGGATTACACTTTCACTTTTATTCTAAATTAAAATAAATAGTAAAGACTCAAGCATTTATAGTCATATATTCCTATGTCATTTTCAACTCATTAATTTCCTGTTATTAACGTGATACCGATTTTATTACAACCAGAATTGAATATAGACGGTACATGAATAAAATATGTTGCAGTGAATTGCATTGCCTTTGACATAATAATAATGCGCAGTGCAATTTAAGAAAAAAAAACTTATAAAACTATATGGATTTTTTCTATATGTGTGAATATCGAAGGAAGGTAAAATCAAATTCTTACGGAAAAAATGATGAAAGGATAATAGATATTAAAAGAACACATTAATATTGAATACATTCGATTGAAAAATATATATGAAACTCAC